TGAAACATTTTTATTATATTATTACTATTATTATTTATTTTACCTAATCTAACCTTAAATAACCTAAAGAGATGTCTATTTTTACATTTTAGTTACATTTATAATAATAAATAAAGAATAAGCATGAAAAACAAGAAATAAAGTACTTACCTGTGTATTCTTTGTTTTTGCTGTCGATGACAATTAACTCTACTTTTTTTTATACTAATGGTAGTCATGCACTAAATAATTTTTATTTAATTGAATAATGCACCAAAGAACAAAGAATAATAACATGCAAAAAGCAGACAATTTCCCCTAACTATCAAAAATTTTCTGGCTTTCTAACTATGTGACAAGAGCAGTTACAAATTCATCCAAGCTAGTTTTTATCTTTCCTATGAGAACAAAGCTTGTACTAACTTAGAAATTGACAATTCTCTGTTTAGAAAACAAAGTAATATAATAAATAATTTGATAGATGAAAACCTTGGCTTTCTATTAGTTATACATAATATAGTATTAAGCATAAGAGAGAATTATTATCAAATTCTGAAAGAGAGGATGTAACGGGAGGGTGTGGCAAGAGGGGTCTGATTTTCTATTTGATGGCTCAGTAATCAAATAAGATTGAAGGCTATAAAAATTATGGTTTGTCTGAGCAATGAAGATTTTATAGTGAGTAATTTATGTTAAATTTCATACTTATTGGAGGGGTGGTGAATAAAATAGAGAAGAGGGGATGCCAAGAGAAAATATGTTACATTTCTCACACTAGAGGAAATCCAGAATATTTTTAAATATTGCCTTATAAAATTAAGAACTTAAAACTTATATATGATTAAAATATGGATTATTAACTATGATTTTATGCTATAATTATAAATTATATATACTTCCACTAATGTAAGAAATGTTGAGTGTTTTTATTTACAAATCTCAAAAATCTAAGTCTTCTTCTCATACAAATAAGTAAATTTATTATTTATTTTGTGTTTAGCTAATTATATCAGTAAAGACACACTAAAAAATCTTGAAATTACACAATCACCATGGTATTAAGCACTGTTGACAAACAGACATGCATCTATCATATGATGCATAAATAGCATTTCTTACTGACTTCTGGGTGCTATAGGTCAAGCTTGATTGAATTCTTTACTGAATTAAAAGAAAAATCATAACGTCTCTTGACCTCTGTATAATAGAAGAAAATGTTTACTGCTCTGTTCATTCAGTTCGAAAGGTTATTATATCATGTGCCAAGAGAATGTGAAGAAAGGATAGGAAGTCTAAACAGAACAAAACAACTCCCTACTCTTTCTTGATGTCCTTATGACCCATAATCCTAACAATCTCTTGACTTCTGTATAATAGAAGAAAATGTTTATTGGTTTGCTTGTTTGGTTAAACAGCTTCATTCATTTTTTATTCTGTAGAACACGATAAAGATGGATTAAGAACAGTTAAAACATTTGTGTAAACAAATGTTATTCATAACATCAGTCATCTTTCCTATTATTTTGAAACAAATCCTATATACTTGCAGCAAATATGTACTAAGTTACATTCTCACACTTCTAACACAGAATCTCTATGAACATTTACAAATTCTACAGATTATATGACTTTTAATTACTATTTATAGTAATAGTATAGTATATTCGTTGATGAAACCTTGTATTTTATTCTATAATACATTCACTTACACACACAAATACAAAAAGAAACTGAAGTTAAAGCATGAAGTAAGAAAATACAAATGTAATAAACTGAATAAAAAAGAAAGCACTAGTTACTCCTTTTCCACTAAGCTTTATGTCTACCTTCAAGTGATTCAGGATGACAACTAAAGCTTTTCCAAGTTCTGTGTCCTTCTGTATCATACTTATCCAATACATAGCCAGAGACACGTAGAAGATGACAGTTTTAGTTTCTACCTGCATGTCTTAATGAAAAAATACATTAGATGTCACACAAGGTTGGTTTATTTTGGTTCAATACAGTTAATATATTTGTCTATGAGACATACTAAACTATCTTACCTTACAGAAACCATGTGCTTGCTATACACAATTCCATAAACATCACAGAATACAAGGGAACTTAGAATGTATATAACTTTGGTAGATTTAATTTTACAAAAACTTCTCTCTTGTCATACCAAAAATACTTTAGCAAAATGTTAAGTTACTGTTTAGCACAAGAAAAGTAATTAATTGATCATGCTACTCACTTAAGAATATCTGCTAATTATCACTCTCAGATTCAAGGTATAATGGTGGTCATTTCATGAACACATACATACAAACCCGTAGAAAACAATACACCATCTTACTCCGAGTTCTCCACTTTCCCATCTTCCACATGGCTTACTGTATATGCATCAGGAGAAAATACATAATTTATGCTTTCCCACCATAAGCCAATATTGACAGTAGCAGTCATGATAGAAAACCACACAGTAAATGGTTGTGGAGTGGTGGGTGGGAATGTATTTCAAGTTAACAACCTGTTTGAAATTCATTTTATTTCTAAAAATGTAAAATTCAAATTAGGTAGACTTACTTCTGAAATAATAAAAGTGTTTCCATTAACCAGTAAATATTAGGCAGAGATTACTGAAAAAGCTAGTTAACTGGCTGGTTAAAAGGAGGAAGCTAGCTTTAACTTTCTAATGTTTTACTGCCAAAGCTCAACATCATGAAGGCAGTAGCTTTGAATTAATATAATAGCATCATAGTTAGGCACATCAAAAAAATAATAAAATAAAAATTCTATCTTAACCCTTTCTCAAGGGGTCGGTATAACATGCACGAGTTAAGTTTTATAACTTTTAATGCAGTAAGTGTATCTTCACAAAATTTGGCAGACTTTTAGTAAAGATTGGAAGTCTTTCATACACAAAAAATCAAGTTTGTTAATAAAGTATTTTTATTATACAATTGTTTGTGAAAATATAGAGTCTCGTTATCAGCCCAAGTGCGAAGAGAGTTTCATGTCATAACCAAGAAACTATTGTTCATCCCCAAAATCTCAAAAAGTATTTGTGTAATCTCTAAACTTCCTAAATAAATTTCAAACATTTGTTTTAAGTAAAACTTTATATTTCTTCTGTTGTTTTCTCTACTCTAACTCTATGGGGTCTGTCAGTTTGACTGGCCTTGTAATCACCATAAAAAATTAGGAAATAAATTTAAATTAAGCTGCTTTCATTCTAGAAGACTACAGATTATAACATGAAAACAAAATTATTAGTCTAAATAGCTTAAATCTCATAACATTATACATTTATATATATTTATTATTTTTATTATATTGACCTTCCAGCCATGCCTGGCTAACAATACAAAAGTTACAATGATTTGGTGCACGGGCACTTATGATACCATATCCAATAATACAAAACTGACCTTTAGTCTTTACAAAATGACCTGTCTTGGCTGTGTTTTAGTGGACTAGTATTTTGTAAAATACAGTCACATTTCAATTATTATACATTATTACAATTCACAAATAAGTTCTTAAACTTATTTTTCATAAAACATAGAACAGTAAATACAGAAATATAGCAAACAATTATCTCTTCTAGGTACGACCTTTGTACCCGTTTCCTGCTTATCGTAGGTTGCTAAGCCTTATGAAATTTCCCACGTGGAGGATGTGAAAAGAAAGTTTTTTTTAGGTTTTTTATATATACATTTTAAATAATCCAAAAAATCATAAATTACTATACTGATACCACAGAATTCCATTATAATTTATCAAGCGTAGTAACTAAGATGTATTTTATTCTAAAAGACTAAAGACTACCTCCTTGAAATCTTGGTTCAAAAGAAAGAAATGGCATCCTAAGAATTTAAAATGGTAGTCTGAGTTCCTAATTTGTACGAAACTATAGACTTTGTATTTGGACATCACAAACATATAATTTAAACCACTGCTGCATTCAACATACCAAGTGACACACAAAAATCAATGTTTAGCTGTATTTTTTTAATATTTACTTTTAAATTAAGAAATTAATGTATAATACTAAAATCTGAATTATAATCTACAATTTGATACCAGTTTGACACAAATTCATAAAATAGTAGTTCAATAAAATTTTGAATGCAAGTCAAAAAACAAAATGACATGGCCTTTGACACATGACCTGTTGCAATAGGGTTAAGACAAACATTTTTTAGAAATTTGAAATGCCATGGACAACATTTTACTTTTATACTATAAGTACTGAATTCAAATCTGATGTAATTTTACTAGCTGAAACTAAATATATCACATAAAACCAGATGTTTCAGAAGTAAATGTTCATTGAAAATAATTGACACATGTACCTTGCCTTTTATAATTAGTTCCATGTCCATAGAGCAGCATCATTACAATTACATTCCTGCCCTCAGTTCAGTCTAAGTGCATTTGGAGAAAGTAACAAATTACTGGCAATAAAAGTGTCAGGACAATCTGATATTCCTCCAGAAATTACCTTTAGCAAATTATCATAAACACTTATTTTATATCAAATTGCAGCAAAACTTTAGTACCAATTACATAAAGTAGACAATATTCACATAACTGGAGATCAAATCTATGTCATCAACATAGCTGTATATGTCAAAATAATGGCTGTTAGTAACAAAACAACCAAAATAACTTTGTCTTTATTAATATGCATCTATATCAGTTTATTAGCACACTGAATATGGGTAGGGGTTGGTCAAAGTGCATGTTGCAACAATTTTACAGAGCTACATTCAAAATTTAGTTAATCTACATAACTGATATTTGAAATCATTGGTACTTGGTGAAACTCCATTATTACAGAATTGAGAAAAAAACAAAGACAACTGAACATTTCACAAAAACTTCATTTATTAACCCGATGACTACCGATACTAACTTTCTTAGTAGGCAATGCAAGTGTGCATTTGTGAATTGAAAAAATGATAGAGAACT